TTTTATAACTCCCTTGAGTTTTTATTATGTCACTACGCTCCAAAACAAAGGGTACGAGTACGCTGTCTCGTCTGAATGATACTGTGCTTAAAAACCTCTTATTCAAGTCTCCAAGTAAGCTGACTCCCAAGCACGCTGGCTTCGTTCACACTGTACTTTTCTGACCACGAAGAAATCTCCTTTAATTGATTACAACTGTCCACCTCCTAAGTCTCTACTTGGAGTGCAACTAGCTGGTCAACGGGGGACGATTGCTTGCCTTTTGACCTGCTAGTGCGCTCCTTATATACTCCAAAACCCCTATCTACGCTTTTACATGTGTTTTCTACGGTTATATATCGGTCTGAAATACAAATAGCTTTTAATGATTGTGTGGTATAGTTTGTAGTGTCTCTCTTGTGGTACACTACAGACTTTGTAGTGTTAGTATCTTTTCTTTGTCAACGCATCAGTGTTTGATGCGTACGCAGAACAATCCGGTTTTAATTATATCTAGTCCGGACCGGTTCCGCATGCTTCTTTATCATGGTCTCGGCTACTAATTTGACATATCGTGTCATTTCAGTGATGGGCGTGCTGATGCGTGTGATACGTATGCAGACACACTGCCGGCTTCTTTATTTCCAGAGGCCGTTAATTTAAAATACCTCGGCACGGTTTCTGTATCATATGGAGATCGGATGGCACTCCGAAGAGCTTCAAATGACTTTCTTAATTATCAGGGGGGTTTCCAGGATGGATTACCTAATGTCTTTCCAGGTGTGCGCATCACGCGTCTTGGACGATACGACGCATCACTCTTTGATGCGTACGCGGGAATTGCCGTACTCGATGTTCTACATGGCCACAAGCCACGCTTGGTCTCGGTACATATGCCACATAGTTGTAACATAGTCTCTCTAGTAGTAGAACATTATCTCATAATGTCCACATGTAGTTTATCCTCTAGAAGTCTTGGTAGATTTATCACAAGATAAAAGACCGAGTTTTTCATATTAAAATCCATTTCGTGTTTCTAAACCCTTGGTAGTAATGCAATCTTGTTCCCTGCGTTGGGTGGTTTACTCTAGAGTCTCTTTGTACTCTATTTCATGGTGGGTGAATCCTAGTAGGCTCCAAGTATAATGTCACGGCGCATACTGCTGCCAGCTCCAAAGCCTTTGTCCTATGTTCAGACTCGACGCATGTGCACTTTTAGTCTACTGAACCGGGTATGTTCATAGACTCTTTATATCATTACAACTGTATGTAGTATAGTTGCAGAGAAGACCGTTTAACGGTAAAATCGCGAAAATCGGATTTTATATGGTTGAACATGTTTCACCCGTATCAACGTCAACACGGCAAGCGAATTAGCAACCATGTTCTGCGTTAGCGCCTGCGACGACAGCACGTTTGCAGAGGCAGCTAGCATCACCGCCCGCGATGATAAGTCGTTCGCAGTGCTGGCTATTGCCAGCGAGTCCCTCGCTGCATGGTACGTCCTGATCGCCCACACACCAAACACTACCACTGCAATAAGCCCAACGGTTTGGAGAACATAATTCACAACCTCGCTCCAAGTGAACAGCCAAACAGTCCCAGTCGTCTTAGTCCCCTTGGAATGGTTTGTATGCTTCTCCGAAATGGTACCGTCCCTCAAGTTGAAACTCTGCTGGGTGTTCAAAAGTGCACGGTCAGCAGCGCTTGAGCTTGACGGTCTCTCGAGTTCCTGGGTGGGGTTTTGGAAACCCGTGGCTGCCAAGTGGTCTTGCAGTGGGAAGTCGCTCGTGTGCACAGGGATGTAATAAGCTTCTTCCATGATACGAAAGTGTGCACAAGCTGGTAGGACTTCAAGTTGCTGCCGCTCGTGGCCGTTATCAGAGCGCTGCTACGCTCAAACTCAAGCAAAGCCAGGTGCTTCAGCACCTATGAATCGCCGTCAAACGGACCGCACCTCGGTCCTCAACTGTATTCAAATCGTAGGTCCCGGACACTGGCAAGTCCCGGATTCATCCCAGTCTTGAGCTCGGGTTGTATAACATGAGGCCGAAGTTAGCTGCAGGATGGCCGACCGCCTTTGGTTAGCCACCATTGTTGAGTAGGCATTTAGCAAAAATCCAGAGGTAACGGGACAAGAATGAGTTACAAGCTGCTTGATAAGCGTGATATGTGACAGGTGACTGGTGTTACTCTCAACCCAGTGCTCGCAAAAAAAACTGCTCTCCAAGAGTCAAGCTAGTCAAGACCTGCTCACGACTGAACATTCGCGTTAAGCCGGCTGAAGTCCTCTTCCCCCCATCCGCAAGTTATTTTGGCATTGTATCGAAGAAGACATCATTTCCCAAAACCTCAGATACATACATCTCACCGCTTCAGTCCGTACGGCGTACGTCGACTTCAAACTTGGACTTTGCTTATCCTTTCCACCCCTTTCCTCTGACAGGCGTTACTTAGAAACTCGGACAAGTATTTGAATCTTCACTCACAACTCTGTCCAAACTGCGACAAAAATGGTTCAACTACGACAAAAATAGGAAAAGACCTAATCGCGACCTTCTCCGCGACTTTCTTTTTTTTGGCTCAAGGCGTTACTCAACTGCCGAGCCGAATAGTCGTACAACCTGTCGTTCGGAAATTCATCTCTCCGACTTCTCTATTTGGCATCTCGCCGACTGAAGGCAGACGGAAGCTCGCATTTGTTATTGTTCGACTGGAGTTTTCGCAAAAACTCCCTGTACCAACCCTTGTCTCTCAATTGTCTCTACAAGCCGATAAAACGGGGTACTTTGCTCCGCCTCTGATTCGCTGTTTCCTACATCGCCTCTCAAGCTCATTTCTCGGATCTCTTGCACTTACTTCTAACATCCCTCTGCTTAATATGGCCAACGCTAAAGTCGAACACAGAAACGTTAGTTTCAAGCAACTCATCAACAACAATGTTGGCTCCGATGCCGATACAGACCTGGCGACCTGGAGGCTTGATCGTAAGTATTTTTTTCCATTCCCTACGTTTGTTTTATTTACGCGACAACTACAACGAAATTAGTCCCCGAGGGTTGGTTCTACCTCGGCCCAGCTGCGACCAACAGCAGCAACATTCCCGGACAGGGAGCTTGAACCGGGCGTTCTCGTCGACGTCACTGACTGGATTCAAATTTGGAACGATGCAGGCTCCGGCGATTCGACCGGTTTTGTGCTCTGGCGCGGTGTTGGCCCAACGCCCGACTACATCGTCGTGGGTGGTTTCTTCATGCGCAGCCACAACAAACCTTCCCTAGAGGAGGCAAAGGGTATTAAGGCCATCCATAAGCTCGCGTTGCGCAACACAGGTCCTGGAAGCCAGATCTGGACTGATAAGGGTTCGGGTGCTGACCAGGATGGAGCTATTTGGAGCATTTCGACCTTTGGCGTGGTGCCCACTGGTGCATTTGTACCGGTCAGAGGGTATGATAGCCCGCCTCAAGACTTGTATGGCCTCCACTCTCGTCACGTCGACGAAGGGGAGTAAGTTATAAGAAGTAATGAAGCGGAGTTGCAGCAGGACTCCGTCATACAAGGTTCATTCATTTTTTTGCTATGTCTTTGATGATATCTAAATTTCATGATTTCTAGACGCTGTGTTTTCGTGTAAAGAAATTTCAATTGTGCTCAATGATGATTAAAATATTAATGATTAACGAATGTATCTTTGTGTTGCCACCGACCTGTGTATCAACCTGAGAAAGGTCGCAAAAGTGGGTGGAAGCCTACGGGCTCCGTCCCTTCACGACCATCCGATGCATTCTGCACAGGGTTTGTTCCGTGGATTCAATCAGCCAGGGTTTTCCCGCTACGTTAGTACATAGTGGGTTTTGTGGGCCGGCCAAACTAGGAAACTTTGCTCACGTGGACAGTCATGTGAATGGAGATCACATGCGCATTTCTCCTTTTTATTTCAGTCGGACCAGTCACCAAACCATTTCGTTTATCGGGTAGTATGGATATTCATCATTGTAATTTTTGCGTAATCAGTTCAGTTTGTCTAACGAGGTCAACATTGATCTTTTTTTTTCCTCGTAAAGATTGGGACAAATGTTGGACAAATGCACTTTTTTGCAAAATTCACTGCTCCAATGGAGGGTCAGATTGAGAATAACACGAGGCGTATTACCGAAGGCCAAGCGACGAGCAGCGTTATTCAATGTATGTAACATTATTATAAGTATAAACAGATTCAACATAAAACAAACCAAGTTAACCAACAGTCGAAATGGGGCGTAGCGGGCCAAGCGGCTTGCCGCCCTACGTCTTTATTGGCCTCCATACTTCTTCAGAATCTTCATCCACAACTAACAAGCTCCACGTGATATTAGGCTCATCACGCCGGACCGGACCGGCAATGTTTGTTGTATGCCTGCCTTGTAAGTAACGGTCCAGATATGCACACAACAGGGATGCCAATTTGGTGAAGCCAAAGCTGCCAGATCGCACATTCCTCATTCCTTGTCCGTCCACCTAAAACCACACAAGCCGAAAAGTTACTGAGTTCTGTCATAGACGGCGACGGAGTTGACTGGTGTACACTGTAGGCTGTGCGGTGTCTACATGATTGCCCCTTGATGTCCTTCGACTATATAGAATGCGCACTGCATCTCACTGGAATCGCTGACACCATGCAATTCCGTGAATCTCTCCATTCGTCCCATCTGCCAGTAATCGGAGACGACCAGGTATAACGGGCCCCCCAATGTTCAAGATTGGATCGTGACCCAATCATCTCAGGTATCAACTCTTTCTTTCTTTGTTTGGCCGGCCACACACACTGACATTCTAACTTTTTCAAATGCCTGGTGAGCCGGCCAGGGTTCTACAATCTCAAGAGTCAGGTAGGATATGGAGTTAACGCAAGTTCGCCTCCAGTGACTTTGGTGAGAATGGTCTCATAAAATTTCCTGTCATCTCTGTCAATCGCCATTGAACTCGTTCTGAAGTTTAGCTCGTGAAGTTTCTGCCCCTTCTGAAGATTCAGGCATATCAGGTTACGCCAGGATGACTGCAGCGCCGTTGGGATTGAGCATGTTAGCCACTGAAGGACAAAAAAGATCAACGTTCATCAACATTCATACTCAGTAGTAATCCTAATCCGAATCTTCAGCCTTTTTCTACCAGCGAGGAGAGCGCCGACAATCACCAAGAACGCAACAACAGCGGCAATAATCCCAACCAACACCGCGAAATGCACCGTGGTTTTCTGATGGTATGAAGTCGTTTTCGGCGGCGGCAGTAGCCTATTCGGCCCCCCGAGCGCTTGACTGTTCGACGATGAACGTGATGAATTGGCCGAAGCCTGGTTCCAGCAGTGCTGTGAACTGCTCGACGGCGTTGGCTGTGGGCCCACCTCTAAACTCGGATATGGCGCGACATACGACCCAGACTCTGCTGAACCACCACCTCCTAACGGGTTGGTGGTGTTTGGGTTTAGCTGGGAGCCTGTCGCCGGGGGCATCAAACCGACACCCTGAGGGTTTCCATACAATACAGTGTTAAAAACTGTTTTGGAAACTGTGGCACAAGGAACGGTCTGGGTTTCAGTGCGGTAAGCAATAGGTTGATTCAGAGAAAGGCATCTGTGGACATACAAATTCAGAAGGCGGGATTGCCTTGAGGTAAGGGGCACAAAAACTCAACAAAGCAAGTTGATTGGCTAATTTGCTTTGCTCCAGTGCGTTCGTTGAGAGGTTATTCGCATTGGCCGCTATTGAAAGCGACGTCTCCGTCGCACTGTATGTCTTGATCACCCACACCCCAAACACAATTCCCGCTGTAATTCCGGCGATTTGGAGGACGTAATCAACAATCTCGCTCCATGAAAATACCCAAATCACTGCTGAACTGTGCTTGTCCTTCCGATTATGTTTTAGAAACTTCTCGTCGTTGATAGGACTGAATTTTTCGACGTTGGGTGTGTTGCTAATGTTCGACATTCTGTCCAAGAGCCCCACCTGACGATCGACCTCGTCGATGGAAGAGCTGCCTACAATGGTAGGGCCGCATAGGATCGAAGCGCTGGAACCTATGATGGGAGGGCTCTGGGGGCTCAGGATAGTAGGAGGGCTGCCTAGAGTGATAGGGCTGGGGCCTAGGATGGGAAGGCTGCCTACGATGGGCGGGTTTCCGTGGGGGTCACTCATGTGTAGAGAGTTGGGGGGTTCTTCGTGCGTTCAAATCTATGCGTCTTGATCCAACTTGGGTCTTGGGTCGATAAAGGTATGCTCACACATATTAACCATGATCGTGCACAGCAACGTTCCAGTGGATGAGCGCTCCGATTCCCAAGTTCCCAAGCTGCCAGTAAATCTGCAGACAAAGATTAGGTTCTTCGGGCCCGCTCTTCAGCGTGACTCTTGGCTAGCGTCTCAAGAACTTGTCCGGCGATCATTTGGAAAGCAGTTAACCTGATGTTCGTATCAAGCTGACATAGCCCATCAGCCTCGTCTATTAGTACGTACGGTACTTACCATGCGACAACTTGAAGTTCACTCAACTTCACTGGTACTTGTAAGTAAATGTAACTTTGGTCAACTTGGGTCGTAATTTTCAAATGATACACCCTTCCGGTGCGAAATCCAACTGCCTGTGCTCTCGACGGCCCAGGCGTCGGAATACTCTCTGGTTTTGAGCAAGTGTGGGTTTTACTCAAGGTTATTTTAGATTCGGCCTTTTCTCCAATGCCTAGTAATGTAATCTCCCTATTTGCGTAAGTGGTGAGAATCTATGAGAAAACCAAAAGAGTGTACGAGCTGAGAGTTGCGCGAAAGGCCAACGTGGTAAGTGTCAACGAGGTAATGAGTAAATAGATAAGTCCAAGAAATAAAAGAGAGTTGAAACGAGTATGTAAGTACAAAGTTCGAGCGTCTGCGTGAGTCACGAAATTCTAAGAGGGAAAAGAATGAAAAATAAATCGAGACGAGTTCAATGCAGTCACCTCCTCCATGGGTGGAAGATACCAAACAACTCTTGTGAAAGATCCCTTCTTGCGAGCAATCAAGGCACCGACAGCCACGCACCAACAGCCACAAAAAACACAACAACGGCGACGACAATCCCAACAATCACAGAAAGCTGCATTGGCTTTTTCCGTCGATGGGACGCTGAAATTGGCGAGGGCCTCTCCGTTGTCGGTGGCGGTGTCGGTAAAGTAGAAACAGAGGGCCTCGCTGTTGTCTGTTGAGTAGAGGCAGCGGGCCCCATCGTTGTTGGTGAAGCAGGAGCAGAGGGCCTTCTTGTCGGTGAAATAGAGGCAGAGTGCCTCGTCGTTGTCGCCGTCCTTGGCAGTGTCGATGACGTAGATGTAGAAAGGTTATGGGGAACGTTGACAAACTCCTGAGTGTCTGGGTTCTCCGGCGATGTAGTTGGGACCACAGAACTTGTGACAAACGACCATAGGCGTAAAGTGATCGAGGCGCAAAGGTCTGTCTGATTTCAACGCAGTATATTGAATAAGCACATGTACAACGTCGATCCACTGCGAACCGCATGTGGAAGATATATACTCACAAGATTGGAAGGCGGCTTTGTCTGGGCGGAGGCACAGAACGACAACAACTGAAGCGAATTGGCAAGCATATTCTGCACCTCCGTCTGATGGATTGAAGCTTTGGCTATCGCATGCGACCTCCTCGTCAGGTGGTTCGTGGTGTTAGCTATCTTCCCCGCCTGCGTGTTGGCGTCGAGGGCTATCGCCAGCGCCTGGCTCGTCAGGTTGTGTGAAGTGTTGGCTATTTTCTGCGCCTGATCGTTCGCAGCGAGGGCTATCACATTCGACGTCCTCGTCAGGAGGTGAGTGGTGTGAGCTATCTCCCGCGCCTGTGTGTTCGCGTCGCGGGCTATCTTCAGCGCCTCCCTCGTCAGGATGTTCGTATTGTTGGCTATCTCCAGCGCCCTCTCCGTCAAGTTGTTCGCAGCGAGGGCTATCCTTACCCCCCTCGCAGTCAAGTCGTTCGCAATGTCGGCTCTGCCCAGCGAATTCCTCGCCACATCATACGTCCTGACCGCCCATACGCCAAACACAACCGCCGTGATGAGCCCTGCAGCCTGGATGACGGCATTGACGGCGTCGCTCCATTTGAACGACGATGCTTTCGCCTCAGAGTTGCGCCGACGCGACTTTTTGAAAAGACTTCTAGTACTGATTTTGGAACGTCTAGTACTGTCCTTGAAACTTCTAGTGCTGAACTTGAAACTTCTAGTACTGTCCTTGAAACCTCTCTCCGAGCCCGGGTTGAGTGTAGTGTCACCGGCAGTGAAGCAAACTGATGGTGGCTCGAGGGACTGGGTAGAGTCCTCCGCAACGGTCACTGCTGCCAGTGGGTCGTCTTGGGTTGGAGAAGTGCTGGTGTTAAAGGGCTCATAGAGAATGTCCTCCATAAGTGAAGAGGTAGACAGGCATTCAACTGGGGGGAGGGGGCCTGCTCGTGAATAAATATTCACTCGATGCATAGGCTCAATGTTGTTTCGATAAAAGGGCTGTGCTCACGCAGTCAAACCTGGAATCTCCCCCATCAGACGAACTGTCACAAGAAGTTCGTATGTTTAGAATGCGATGATGATTCAATTGTAATCACTCACCGACTTTAAAGTCGGTGAAACATGATGAAGATAGTACTTGCTTGAACTTTGTCCATGGAAAGTTTGACCTGTTTGGCATTTAGCTTCCCAGTCCATGGCCGAGGCACACATGGCTCCGAAATGAAGCGCAGGGATCTGCAGTGGAAGGCTCAGATGACCTTGATGGATGCAGTGACTCGGACCGTAAAGGCAGACGCTCAGTTTTGTCATACATAGACAACCACTGGGGCCCGCATCCTGGCAGAGAGCGAAGCACAAAGTCCTCGAGTTGCACAACTCCTGTAAATCCCGTCGTTGTTGGTCATGCATCCCCGCTCATAGTCTTCTACTTCTAGGAGTCGACGTCCTTGCACGTCAATTCGGTGGCATCGTACTTAAGTGTGGAGCTTGAAGGAGTGCTTTGTTGCTTTAATTTCGAACCTGTTCAAGACGTGTACCCCAAAGGCCCTACCCAAAGCCAGAAATGTCCTAAATTCCGGAAGGAAAGTGTGTGGACGTGGTGGGGAGGTAAAAAGATAAATGATCACATGATGTAAACATGTTGTGCAAAACTTTAATCTGACATGGGGAGCGCTCAACATACAGCGCAGTAATGTGAAAGCAGTGATCAATCTTCAAGACGTTTGAAGGGGTATGCCAGTGCGTATCGGGCGGAAGATTTGAATTCGTTATGAATTCCATTGAGTCATAATTCATTGACATATCTAAAATAATAATAATCCGAGTCGAAACACGGCTAAAGCCATGGTAAGGAGTAATAAAAAAGCACGAAGAGAGAATCGTAAGGAGACTCAATGATCCATCCGTCCGTTCATCTATTCTCCTCGGCCCTCTTCCCCACCCCCGTCAAGGTCCTCACCCAAATGTCAAAACATGTACCCTGCCACTCAACCCACCCATCCACCACCTCCCTTTCTCACTCCCCCTCCTCCCCATCCTCATCATCCAAACAAGACCAATCATACTGCCCAATCCGTCCATGAAACCATACCCTCCCTTTAGGTAGTATAATCGTTTGCAAGGACGGACATAGCTTATGCCATTCCGTGGCGAGGGAACATTCTTCGGTGCGCGTGTTGCTGTCTTTGGTGGAGGCGACGCATGTTATGTACTGTGGCGGTTCAATTCAAGAGGGGTGAGTTTGGGAGGGATGAGGGAGGAAGGAAGGAAGGAAGTACCTTTAAAGAATCGAAGGATTTAAGGTAACGTCCTGACGCTGCTAAATGTTCCTACACCACCATCCCAATCAATCAATACTCCAAACGAAAAGAAAGAAAGAAAGAAAAAACAGAAAGACAAAGACACACATTCGTAAAATCCGCCATAAGCACAACCAAATGCAACGCCTCAAGCTTCCTAAACCTCTTCGCAACCTCCTCAAACAAAAACCGCGGTGCCTGCGGATCAAAACTAATCACGCTCAGCCTCTTCAAATCCCCACTTCCCGCCTGTAAAGCGCTAAAGCTCTCTTCGACGCAGTTTGGGAAGAGGGGGATGGATACGACGCGCACGGGTCGGCCGGACATGATGGTGTGGATGATGGGTGCGCCGGCGTGTACTGCGTTGAAGGTTGTTAGGTGTGGGAGGGAGTGAGGGTGGAGTGTGAAGTTTTGCTGTGATGATGAGGGGAGGGTGTGAGATAAAGGCGGATCGAGGAAGGAGAGCATAGAGGATGTATGATCATTCTGGTACCCGCGCAACGTGAGATCCGTAATCCCGTCCTGAGAATCAAGGAACCGCGCAAGAGGGAGACGACAATGATGCGACGTGGTGAATTGCCTCAGTTTGAACGTACACCCGTCGAATATCCACATGGGCGAATGGTGTCTGGGCAGCTCGATCGTCAGTGACGTGAGCAAGGATAAGCGGAGGAGGACGGAGTGGAAGAGGCCGTAGAGGTTTCGTGTGGGTGATACCGTTGCAAAGTTTATGTCGAGTGCGCGGACGAGGGGTGGTAAGGAGGCGTTACGGAGGAGGGTACGGAAGAGGGTGATGGTGTTTGTGGGGGAGTGGAGGACGATGGTGTGATAGAGCCTTCGGAGGGTGATGCAGTGGAAGAAGCTGTTGACTGTTAGTAGTGGTTGAAGGTGGTTTGGGCTTATGTCTTGCAGGATCATGTCGATTATTTCGACGGCGATGTTGGATCGTAGGTGCGTAGTGCTGGCCATTGAAGACAGCTGGTCGTCGTTTCTGTTTTCTGTGTGCATTCGGTCCGGACTCGCCGCTTGCAATCGTCGTCACAGTCACAAATTGAAACAACATTGAAATGCCTCCTTCACCTTCGACAATAGTTACGCTCGATGTATTGACAACTGTACTTTCCAAACTCCACCTTTCTGATGCCATTTCTGCCCCAAAGCTCTTTGACGCCATCCTCCAGGAGAACGAAAACGCAGAACCTTCAAACACAGGTCTATCTACCAGCTCTGCCCACACTGCACAGACAAGCAATTCTACAGCGTGCGCATCCGTTTTTTTCTTACAGTACATTCCGATGATATCTGAGCCAATTCAAGTGGCGAAGGAGAGTGCCAACAGCAAAGGCACACCAGTTCCGCCTTATACATCGACGGTTCGCAAGGTTACTCCGAGTCGAGATCCCGCGAAAAGCGAAAAACGTAAGAAGCTTTTGGAGCTTGCCCGATCCAGATTTCCAGATGTAAAGGTCCCCATGCCCTATGTCGATGTTTGATAGAGTGCATGAGGTACGCCGTCACCCCGAATTCGAAGTTGGTGGATCCAACAAACATCTCTCAGGATCTTTACGGGTTACATAGGTATGCTGGTTCAAGCTTATTCGTTTGCTACGCTACGCTGGTGAGGCTGTCCTTTTTACCTAGAATCAAGTCTTTTCCGGCTCGACATTGTAATTGTACAATACCAATGGAAATTTGCTTTCTCTAATGATTCTGAAGTCCGGCGAGTGCTAGTCCGCTATGGACTATCGCTTGACAGGAAATATCAACTGGTATCCGAGCACTAAGTTACTGACAACTACCACTCCAGCAGGCCCCATCGGGTCTGGCTCTGCCGTAGCAACCGCTCTTCCTTGCGCCTGTCCAAACTACAAGTTTCTTTCAGAGTTTCTGGACAGGCGCCCAACTCGCACTGTATCTTTCTGTGTGCTGTGGCTCAAGGTGAGAGAAGCTTCCTTGAGTATCGAGAGAGCATACTGACATCGAGTTTAGCATGGGAGAATCTGTAGAGTTACTGAGCGTGAGTCCCAGGATCTTTGAGAAAAATGACTGACAAGGTCCAAGAACGACTGTCAGACTGTGCTCGTGGGGCATCGCGGATGACACAGCGCGAGTGGGTGGAGGAGGAGGGAAGATGGGTTAGCATGGATTGCGGTAGGAGAGACTTAACGGGTCTATCTGCTGAGCATCCATCCGTGGGGACGTAGATGTCCGCGAGACCGTCAAAATCGTCTCCTTTCCCGCCACCAAAAAAAACCACAACCCTCGCTGACGCCGTCCTCGCGAGTCGTGGCGATTGTCGAGGTGCTCCGATTCGATTTGCGTATCGAGCTCGGACATCAGGAGGGTGAGAAGTCGGACGTTGTCTCGCAGTGGTTGGATCAGAGCTTTTCCAGTCCGTTCGCGTTGCGAATCCACCCCAGCTCGAAGAGATCTGAGAGGGGGGGTAATTTCATCGGCTACTCAAAGGTGCTCTCCATCCCATCCACGTCATTTCCAACCATAGCCGTCCGAGTCCAAGGATCGTCGACGCTCCACTCCCATGGAAAGACGGCTAACAACGGGAACTGGCCATCTGTCTGAGAAACGCAGACCACGGAAATGCTAAAGCGCGGTGGCCGCCCATGTAGGGATGTCGGATGTACGAGGGGCGAGATAGGGCCAAGATTGGGTTAGGGAAGGGGGACCTTTTGAGCCATCACTGGGGGAATAAAAGAGTTGAAGGTTGAGGAGCGAATAAGCGCGGAGATGGAGGGTAGTTCTGGATGGTACTTCGCGTTCTGCTCGCATGTTTCGTGTAAGAGAAACATGTGAGTTGGGAAAGTGGAGGGGGTAGGTGTGAGGGGAACAGGGTTGGACGGCTGCTAATGACGGATATCAATTCGAGGAGACTTGTAAGTGAGCCAGCTGGTCGCAAGAGCGAGTTGGCGTTGGCCTGTGTCGATGTTTGAGAGCGCATTTGTGCAGGTTACGGGTACAGCGGATGACGGACGTGTGACCTTGAGAGTGCATATGCATCACCTGGGAGAAGAGGCTTTAGCGACGTGAGGAAGAGAATTAGACAGAAGAAGGTTGAAAGTAGACGGGAGGAAGCGGGGAGGGAAGAAGAGGAGGATTGAAAGAGAGATGGTTGAGAAGAAGAGGGGGGTTGGAAAGACACTACACCACACCACCCGTTTTGTGGAGGCAACCCAACTCGCCAACTCGCCAATAGCAGAAAAACTCACCCTCCATCTCAACATCCCAAACCGTAAAAACCTTATCGCATGATTGAGCTGCAGCCAACGCAGGAGCAACACCTGCTACTTTGACTTGAACTTGAGCAGCCTCGCCTGTGCAGCGATCGACGTGACGCCGATGTGAGGGTGCGCCGTGTCGTTTGTTCTAAGGCGAGTTCCGGCCTTCTTGCTGGTGGTGTACACGCCCGTTGCATGAATCCCCACCACGTTTGTGGCTCGAGCTCCCACCGCCGCGTTGATCCTTCGCTCCTGCCTAGTCCGCTGGTGGCGTTGAAATTCGAAGACGGCTAACAAGCGCAGGTGTTGGGCGAAGCTGAATTGGTCCTACTGCTGTTCTGAGTTTGGCTTTCAACCGCCGCTTGACGTCTTTGTTCAATCGTGCCCGCTGTGCAAAGGATGAGTTACCTCCAATTTCTTGCTGGTCTTGTTCGGACTCACCGATCTGCCACACCGCGACTTCTTCCGTCTTCTCCCTCACTCAATCGGAGTCAATCTCGTTCCTGCACTCCGAGTTAAACGCTTCTGTCTCGTGTTTTAAAATCTTAACTTGAGGTTCACCTTGTCGCATCATATGCTCCACCTAAGCTTGTCGAAAGGCGGAGGGCTTCGTTGACTAGCAAAGGGAAGGAAACGGTCGGAGACGCGCCATGCGGAGTAACGGCTGTTCGAGGTAAGGGATGATCGATGAGAGATGAAGGGAAACGATGGGAGTAAGATTGGGTGATGGAGTGCGTTCACTGAATCTCAGGGTAAGAATGAAGAGGAGGCGAGTGGTAGCCTCAACCAAAACTACATCCATTCGAATGTCTGCATGGCACTCTTTGCGCATGCACAGAAACGTTTGCGCTAGGTTCGGAGCGCCCAACTGGACAGGTGATGTTGAGCTGTGTACGAAACGTGCCCCGGCAAAATGCGACGGATGCCTCGTGGTCAATATGGGGTTTGTCGTACCGAAGTTCTAGCTTCTTTCCTTCGCCCCCATCTGCTACACTTCCAACATGAGTGGAAACCATGTCCTGCAAGGTGCTCAGAACGTCGTTATAACTGGCGGCACAATCAACAATGCTGATACTGTGCGTGATTCGCTGATGCCTCTCATCAAGCTAATCAATTGATATTTTCTGCAGATCATTTATAACGCTAGCGCTGGAAACAGGACGGCATACGATGCGCCCATTCCCGTGAAACCCAACTCAAGTGTTCGCTTCACAGGCCGGACTGAGGTTCTCGCAAAACTGAAGGCACATTTTACTGCGAAAAGTGCTGATAAACTCCACCATAGAAAATTCTTCTTGTTGTATGGCTTGGGGGGGATTGGAAAGACTCAAATTTGCTTGAGGGTCATTGAGAATATGTCTGACTAGTAAGTACTCCACCATACCTCCCCAGTCCTTGTAACTGATTCATGCTTAGCTTTTCCCATGTTTTCTGGATTGATGCATCTTCCACTAGTACAATCACACAGGGATTAAAGGGAATCTGCAACCTTCCTGAGGCTCAGTCTTCTGCACTGGATGGTTCACCTCAATCTGCTTTACAGTGGATCAGCTCTCTGGGAGATAATTATGCAATGGTCTTTGATAATGCTGATAATCTGACACCTGAGGAACTGGAGGCTTATTTTCCATCTGGGCTAGGGGGAAATATTCTGATAACTAGTCGCAACTCTGGCCTGAGACATCTGACTTTACATGAGAATTCTTTTGAGGTGAAAGAAATGGAGGAAAATGAGGCCATCTCTTTACTATTAAAGGCTGCTTGCTTGGATGAGTCTCAGGAGGATTTACAGGTGGAGGCTTGCAGGATTGTGAATGAGCTTTTTTACATTCCTCTGGCTATTGATCAGGCTGGTGCTTTCATTGCTTTTGGGGACACAGACATCAGAGACTACCTTGATGAATATTCTCAATACAGAGAAAGGCTATTATCCTACCCAGCTTTCAAAGGGGCATCTAAATACAACAGATCTGTGTATGGGACTTGGGAGCTATCATTCAAAGAAATTCAGCAAAGAGCTGAAAGTGATGATTCTCAAAGTGCTAAGGCAGCTAAGAGTGCAATTTTTCTGCTAGCAATATTTGCCTTCTTTCATTTTGATGGTATTACTGAAGAAATTTTTTCTTATGCTGCTACTCAAGAGCATGAGGAATATGGAAATGATGTGCAGAGGTCTGCCTTACCTACTGCAAACCTCCTGATAGACCGTACACTGCTTCAGCTTCATGACACAGGAAAATGGGATAATTTTCTCTTCAAAGAGGGACTCCGAGTATTACTGTCTTTCAGCCTGATCAAACTGGTTTCATCCAAAGGTATCTACAACATGCATCCACTTATTCATGCATGGGGAAGAGACAGAATGCCCTTGGAGGATAGACAGAAATACTGTTTGATGGCATATGTAACGTTAGCTGGCTCTCTGTCAGAAAACTTTCCTGAGCAGCCATATCAGTTCAGAAGGATTTTGGTCACACATTTGAGAGCCAATATACAGCACAGTGTAATGGCAAAAAAAGGAATCATTGATAGATACTTTGATGATGCTCATGAAAAGTTTGGAAGAATGTTGAGGGAGCAGGGGTTTTACAGTGAGGCAGAGAAATTTGAAATTCAGGTGCTGGATGCAAGAAGCAGGACTCTTGGGGAGGAGCACCCAGATGCAGTTGGTGCCATGAATAATCTTGCACTTGCATATGAGAAGGTTGGAAAATATACAGATGCACAGAAGCTACAAGTCAAAGTTCTGGATCTAAGAAACAGACTTCTTGGAGAAGAACACCCAGATACAATCAGTGCTATAAATAATCTTGCACTTACACATCAAGTCTTGGAAAATATGCAGATGCAGAGAAGCTGCAACTCAAAGTTCTGGATCTAAGAAACAAACTTCTTGGAGAAGAACACCCAGATACAATCAGTGCCATAAATAATCTTGCACTTACACATCGAAGTCTTGGAAAGTATGCAGATGCAGAGAAGCTGCAACTCAAAGTTCTGGATCTAAGAAACAAACTTCTTGGAGAAGAACACCCAGATACAATCAGTGCCATGAATAATCTTGCACTTACATATCAAAGTCTTGGAAAATATGCAGATGCAGAGAAGCTGCAACTCAAAGTTCTGGATCTAAGAAACAAACTTCTTGGAGAAGAACACCCAGATACAATCTGTGCCATGAATAATCTTGCACTTACATATCAAGTCTTGGAAAATATGCAGATGCACAGAAGCTGCAACTCAAAGTTCTGGATCTAAGAAACAAACATCTTGGAGAAGAACACCCAGATACAATCAGTGCCATGCATAATCTTGCACTTACATATCACAGTCTTGGAAAATATGCAGATGCAGAGAAGCTGCAACTCAAAGTTCTGGATCTAAGAAACAAACTTCTTGGAGAAGAACACCCAGATACAATCTGGGCCATGGATAATCTTGCACTTACCTATCAAAGTCTTGGAAAATATGCAGATGCAGAGAAGCTGCAACTCAAAGTTCTGGATATAAGAAACAAACATCTTGGAGAAGAACACCCAGATACAATCTGGGCCATGGATAATCTTGCACTTACATATCGAAGTCTTGGAAAGTATGCAGTTGCAGAGAAGCTGCAACTCAAAGTTCTGGATATAAGAAACAAACTTCTTGGAGAAGAACACCCAGATACAATCTGGGCCATGGATAATCTTGCACTTACACATCAGAGTCTTGAAAAATATGCAGATGCAGAGAAGCTGCAACTCAAAGTTCTGGATATAAGAAACAAACATCTTGGAGAAGAACACCCAGATACAATCAGTGCCATGCATAATCTTGCACTACATATCAAGTCTTGAAAAATATGCAGATGCAGAGAAGCTGCAACTCAAAGTTCTGGATATAAGAAACAAACATCTTGGAGAAGAACACCCAGATACAATCAGTGCCATGCATAATCTTGCACTGACATATCAAGGTCTTGAAAAATATGCAGATGCAGAGAAGCTGCAACTCAAAGTTCTGGATATAAGAAACAAACATCTTGGAAAAGAACACCCAGATACAATCAGTGCCATGCATAATCTTGCAACTACATATCGGAGTCTTGAAAAATATGCAGTTGCAGAGAAGCTGCAACTCAAAGTTCTGGATTTAAGAAACAAACAGATTGGAGAAGAACACCCAGATACAATGAGAGCCATGCACAATCTTGCACTTACATATCAAAGTCTTGGAATGTATGCAGATGCAGAGAAGCTGCAACTCAAAGTTCTGGATCTAGGAAAGAAACATCTTGGAGAAGAACACCCAGATACAATCAATGCCATGGAAAATCTTGCAAAAACATATAATCATTTACAGAAATTCAAAAATGCAGAGCAGCTAGATATCCATGTTGGCAACATAAGAAAAAATATTTTTGGAGAGGAAGATCCAGACACAATCAAAGTGGTGGCATCACCCAAAGCAATTGGATCTCTTGCCAACAAAAATACCTCAGAAAGCAAGCCAGAGAAAAAGAGTGAGTCTTAACTCCTTTAAAGTTTACCCAATTCACATAGTCATAATATTAGCTCAGAGTCCTTGTAAAATTGCACATAAAATTTTCAAAAAGTTGAATAGAAAGGTATTGCAATATTCCAGCATTTCTCATATTATTCTTGCTCATTTGCATTTCCAGTAGGGCGTACAATAGATCTGTCCCATAAGATTCTAAGTTCATTCTTGTACATATGCACCATCTCTATACTCACACTTTCCAAGCCACATTACCTTCAACCAAATTATCTTGGATGCCTGTACCTCATTGTCCAATAAACTCTTACATATATCCCTCTGGATGGAAGCCACATTACACTTGAGACAGCAATGAATATGTGGAGCTACATATGTATAAACATACACTCTCAAAACTGCAGGATATGCTGGAAACTCTTTTGTCCTGATATATTTACTGTCAATTTCTAAGNTTTGGTGATGAAATTGTACATCCATCATATNCATAAAACAAACTTACAATAAAAAAAG